AAGCTTGAAGATGTGCTTTCGAGTAATCATTTAGACGAACTTGTCTGCAAATTTTGGATGATCAGTCTTTTTCTCGAGATGAGAATTCAAGTTGGAAATTCAAGTTGGAAATTAAACAAGAAGAGTATCCATTTGCAATTTTGATACCTTTCCGCCTACTGTTTACCGGGGAGGCGTTAAAATTTTTCAAAGCACTTTGCAAGGCCTTGGGTTTGGTGCTAATCTCAAACTTGGGCAAGAACACCGAGGGAGGAGGTCTATGTCGCCGTATCAGTGGATCGTGTGCCAGATGCCTTCTTTTCCTACGGGATACACCAAAGATACACACAAAGGTGTCTTCAAGGGGCCTTGCAATTTCTGAGAACCTTTTTATTGTTTTGAAAACTGAAAACGGATTCTTTTGCTCGCCTGCCAGCGGCCTCGATAGCTCAGTTGGGAGAGCGTTAGACTGAAGTGATTCCTCAGCCATCTAAAGGTCACCGGTTCGATCCCGGTTCGGGGCATTGTTTTGCATTTTTTTCAGAAAATTAGCCAAATCTATTTATATTTATTTACAAGTATTCAAAAGGCTTTTAAAATTATGATTCTCAAAGTGTTAAAGATTGATAGAAATTTGTCGCAAAATGTATCGAACGACTGATGTATGGCAATAGTGTTGTTCCAAGTCGTTGTTCCAGTTGTTCCAAACGCAAATGCAAAAGGAGGTTTGCGCAATTTTTGCATGAGAATTGGTTCAGCCAAGCGGCTAAAGATTCCAGTGGCCAGCTTGTACTCTGCATAAACGACAATTGCACCACCGGCGATGAAGCAAAATCCCACCTGGAGTAATGACACTTTGGCTTTTGGTGGCACTGGAAATTATATTTATTTTCAGATCGTTAGGAGACATTTCAATATTAATAAGTAGGCAATGCTTTTGTTGACTTTCACAATCTGCAATTTTTGCATGAGAATTGGTTCAGCCAAGCGGCTAAAGATTCCAGTGGCCAGCTTGTACTCTGCATAAACGACAATTGCACCACCGGTGGTGATGAGGCAAAATCAAAATATGGCAATAGTTCGATCGATTCGATCCCGGTTCGGGGCAACTTTTTGATTTTATTGGAATTCGAATACTAACACGGAAAGCTTTCAATCGTTTATTCTTTTGTAGAACTTTTGTGAATATCAGTCACTAACAAACGTTTCTTGCTAAATCTTTAACCAATCTTTTTCTCAGTCTCAATACTGACCATTCAACTGCTCATCAATCTCTTTTATAGAGTCCATTTCTCCATAAAAACGAATCCCGTAAAATTAGCGTCTGAATTTTGATTGAAAACTTGAAAAATTGAAGTAAGCACTATATAAACAAAGGTTAAACTTTTGCAAGTGACAAATGAATAGTTGCTAGTTGTTTTCCAGGGATTAATCTTTTCCCGTTTTCCAGTGAGTAGTTAATTTTTAATCCGAAATCGATTTTAATCCTTAAAAAGGATGCTAAAAATTTGTAAGAAAATGATTAAAAAAAGAGCTTTGAATTTTGTCGGGAAAAGTAGCCCTTTTCTGTGAAACATTGAAATCTTATTTGATGTTTTGATTTCGAATATCTCTGATTCTCTTGTCTTGCTTCGAAAGATCGATTTTTGTGATCAGAAGGGATAGGGCTCCACTTTGTATTCTTTCTTTTTGCCTTTTAACCGCCAAGTTCTTGGTGGTAGTTCTCTTTTCTTTTTTGTAGTTTTCCCAAATTTTCTTTCTGAAAAAAGTGTGGCTTAAGAAAATCCAAACTCTTTTTTTTTTCTTATTTTCTTACGAAAATCTTTTTTCGCATTAAAATGGATACTATCACTGAAAACTAGAAAAGACAAATCCTAGAAAAGCAACTAGCAACTATTCATTTGTTCTATTCACTATTCACTTGCAAAAGTTTAACCTTTATCCACTTCACTGAATTTTTCAAATTTTCAATTAATACGATCAATTTTAATCGTTCAATTTGACGAACTTGTTCTTAATCTGCACCAGAAATGGACTCTATCAAAGAAGAGATTGATGAGGAGTTGAATGGTGAGTATTTCATTGGAAATGAGACTGAGAAAAAGATTGATTAAAGATTCGGCAAGATCCGTTTGTTATTGAATGATATTTACAAAAGTTCTTTGACATTTAGCCTCTTTGACTTTGACAACCTCTGAAATCGTATCACTGGGAAACTCGGAGACTGACCATGAATCTCAAGAGGATGACAATGAGAATGATGAGCATTTAGAGAACGAAAGAAGATTGGATAAGGTAGAGGATAAGTTTAACTGAAAAACCAATTTCTGAAAAGACTTTGATCTCCAGGAATCGATTGATCAATTGAAAGTAAAATGCATCGAAGCGGAAACCCGTTGGAGAGAGTACATCACGGGACATTTGAAGAAGATTCTAGTGCTACAGGAAGAAGTGAGGGATCAATTTGGGTTTAATCACAAATATTTATAAATTTTATGGCTTACGGGTATTTCCCTCACATCAGCTTCAAATTTATCACTGTTCAGCTCCGCGAGGCCCAACTTCAGCTTCAAGAAGCTCTCTTTCGACAGCGGGACAAAAGGCTGGACGCTTGCCGCCCAACAATTCCACCTTTAAAATTTGCATTTGAAAATGAATAAACGATTGAAAACTTTCCGTGTTAATATTCAAATTCTAATTTAAATTTCCGATTTTTCCAAAAAACTCAAAGAATTGCCCTGAACCGGTGACCTTTAGATGGCTGAGGAATCACTTCAGTCTAACGCTCTCCCAATTGAGCTATCGAAGCAGGTGGGGGGAGGATCTCTGAATGAAGCGAAAGTACCAGTCGATGGACATGTTTACAGGATTTTTCTTGCGAAAAAGCCTGAGCCTATGCCCCGAACCGGGATCGAACCTTTTTCTTGCGAAAGGTATATTACTGATTTTAGACGATTTCCGGCCCAAAGAGAATCAAGAAAAGACAGGAGACCTTAAAAAGTTCCGGAACGCCTAAAACGGTTGAAATTGGTTGAAAAAAGGCCAAAGCCATAGTTTCCTTGTAAATCTTGGCCCTTTCTTAAATTCCAAATATCTCAGCTTAGAATCATATTTGAATGAAATCTTAAACAGTTATTCTCAAAAACTTACAAGCTTAAGGGCAAAATTAAAGTTAGAATTAAAGGCAAAGTTATTCAGCGATTGGCGACCAAGTTATCACTAAAAAGCACCCCTTTTTGGCCTTTTTTCACACAAAATAGGTTAACTCCAAATATTTTGTTCGAAATGAGATAAAAATCAGGTCAACCTTTTTATAAATGAATGTTTCCAGAACAGAACATTTGGTAGCATTAGGTAGTAGAAGGCAGAATGAGGTAGTAGTTTTGTTTAGGCAGAATGAGATAGTCGTTTTGTTTAAATAGCAATATCAAATTTTCAGCGAGATAGAGTTTAGCTATCTTGAAAAATGGAATAAACTTTGCTGAGAGTTTTAAAACTTTTTTCGGAAAGTATCTCTTCACTTAGCCAGTTTTTCTAAGGTCAAGATTCAAATTTTTATGTAACTTGGATAATAAAAAAGCTTCTCTGCAAGAATTTGAATTAGATTTGTGGATTCAAAAGAAAGAAATCAGTCGTCTAAAATCAGTAAGATAAATTTCGCAAGAAAAATCCTGTAAACACCCCCGTCGACTGGTAATTTGCCTTCCTTCAGAGCTCCTCTCCCACGTGCCTCGATAGCTCAGTTGGGAGAGCGTTAGACTGAAGTGATTCCTCAGCAATCTAAAGGTCACCGGTTCGATCCCGGTTCGGGGCATCTTTTTTGATTTTTTTGCATTTTTCAACTACAATTAGCAGATACTAGTTAATAGTTTGGAGAATAGGTTTTTCAGAAAAACTTTTATAGTCTCAGTGGTTGAACTGAAGCTTTCAAACACCGCTTTTTAAGCAAGAAAGGCCTTTTTTCAACCAATTTCAACTGTTTTAGGTTTTCGGGAACTTTTTGAGATCTCCTGTCTTTTATTGACTTCGTTTGGGCGGCAAAAGCGGCGCCTCATTGGCTCAGTGGCAGAGCGTCTGTCTAGTAAACAGAAGGTCGCTGGTTCGATTCCAGCATGAGGCACCCGAATCTTTTGTTTTTCTTTGAAAAATTTCCTGACTTTAATAAATAATAGATATTATAAAATTAGATAGTTAAACGTGAAAATTTTTCATTTCCCAGTTCCTTCACATCTTTTTTTGCGCTATTCTTTAGCGCTCTCGGCTACACGAACTCTTGCAATCCGATTTTAACAATTGATTGACTGGGAGGGTACTTTGTGAGTACAAAAAATTAAGAAAATGTTATGCACAAATGGGTGGATTTGATGATTTGTAGCTGCTGACTGCCAATTGTGGGAATTTGTCGATTTGTAGTTGCTGGCTATAGAAATGAGCTTTGATATTCGCTTAAAAACAGCTCTCTGAACTTTATAAAGCCAAAATAAACTTCAAAGATTTCGCAAACAAAAGAAAAACCACTTCAAAATCGTTCAAACTAGATTAGATTAGATCCAGAATTTTTTATGATTTGTCTTATTGATCTGATTTGATTAAAAATGTATTCTTTCATAAATCTTTTATAGAACGTGTTGACGTGGATGTGTGGAGTTTGTTTGACTTTGATTTTTGGCCATAATTCTCAACCTTATCATTCTTTTTCATCTCCAATTGCATTACAAGTAAGTGAAGGGTGAGTAAAACAAGAAAAAAAAAAGATTAAAAACAGCAGTACATACAAACTTATTATGTCGATTCAATAATAAAGTGATGTTTTTTCAATTGATGATTGCTTACAAATAGATTTTGTTGGTTTAAAAAATGAAACAATCAGTTTAACTCTTTATTCTTTCAAAGTTTTCCTTTATTCTTTCAAAGTCCATCAAGATTTTTCAGCTCCTCGATAAAGTTCTTCAATGATCGCCTCGCTTTCGCCAATCTTTGACCCTCTGAGGCTTTTCTTTAGATAATAACTCAAAAAATTAACCATAAAGTTTCTGAAGAGCCTCCACGTCAATCTCCTCAATCTTGACTTCATGTTCAGTATGCTAAAATAAAAATCTGAAAAGTTAAACGGGTTTTTTTACCCGATATTGCGAAAAATGCATGATTGAGGAGAGATCTTTTGAATGTTTTAATCCAAGCGCATGACCAATTTGATGAAGAGCCTCTCGACGGAGATCCATCTCAATATCACTAAAGAATTTAAATACTATATTTAAATACTGTATTGTAATAGAAAACCAGTCTAATAGAAAATTATTCTATTGGGTTGGTGAATTGAATAGGTAGATAGATATATTTGATGATTTGTAGTTGCTGGCTGCCGGATTGGGTATAAAAATGTACTTTGGGTTGAACGTTCGTTGAACAGCTCGTTGAAAAACAGCTTGTTGAACTTTAAAAAGTCAAAACAAACTTTAAAAATCTCGAAAACAAAAAAAATCAGTATTCACTTTCGAGCTTGTGCGTTGTTAATGCGTGCAAATAGTCGATGAGTTAAAGTTAATGCAGAATTTGAGATGGATAAAGGTAGAAAAGCCATTACTTGTGCTAGATTGACCTAGTTAGATTAGAGAAGCAACTCTAATCTAACTAGAGGGATTTTAAGACAAAAAAACTCTTTACCAAATCATTTTTGTTCATTTCTTTTCTATTATTACTTTGTAGTTTGTGCAATAAAGCATAAATTTGGCATGAAACTGTTCTAAATTTCAAATTTACTTCAAAAATCCCTTGACGTTTCTTCTCCTTAGTGACCATTCAAAAAAATAAACGAAACGGGAAATGAAAAAGCTGAAAAAGCTAAACTCCTCTTCTTTCTATCAAAGCCAAAACTTTTAATTTGACCAAAATCTAGTTTAGAATTGTAACTTCATTAAAAAAACGCTTCTAGCTATCAATTTCGGTTTTAAAATAATATTGGGTTGGTGAATTGAAAACTGCCGGACTTTGAACTAAAATTTATTCCACATAAAACCATCAATTCATTCCAAATAATTTCCATTATTATTGACGACTTCTGCCCATTTTACAGGCAATTTGCGGATTCCTCCTTCGCAGTAGGATTCTGGTTTGTGTGTGAGACAAGTGTGAGACTCAAAAATGGAGGACTGGAGATGTCCTAGTTTGAGCACTTTCTTCAAAAGAAACCCATTTTGGTGTCAATAGAAAAGTGGTAGAGAATCAAAAATTAGGCTTATAGCCAAATTTCCAAAAAGATACACTCAGTAGTTTCGCTTAAAATGCAAGTTTTGTGAAAATTCGTAAATTTGGCATTTCTTGAAAATTAGCTTTTGAATCGTTCTGAAAATTTGGATACAAGCTTGATTTTTGATTCTCTACAACTTTTCCATTGACACAAAAATGGGTTTCTTTTGAAGAAAGTGCTCAAACCGTCAGATATGACAATAGCCCGCAGTTTTCAATTCACCAACCCAATATATTGGTTTTCTATTAACCTATGCAATATCAAGTCGTTCAAATCAAATAGCCGGCAGTTTTCAATTCACCTACCCAATAGAACCGCTGAGGATACATAAAACTTATTATCCAAGAGCTCTCTATGCTAAATTCAATATCTAGTCGTTAGCCACTACACCAATGACATCTTGTCTTTGTATTAGGTTGGAAAGAAAGTTTTCGGAAAAAGTTTGACTGGGATTTCTTAAAAACGAATTCATCGATTCAAGAACATTTTGTTCTATTATTTACAAGTTAACTCCAAGAAATTACTTTCGAAAGAAACGCGTCGATGCGAAAGGCGAAACTACTACGTGTATCTGTTTGGAAATTTGGATATAAGCTTGATTTTTGATTCTCTACAACTTTTCTATTGACACCAAAATGGGTTTCTTTTGAAGAAAGTGCTCAAACTGTCACATATGACAATAGCCCGCAGTTTTCAAATCACCAATCCAATAATAGAAAACCAATCTCAAAGTTTAAGACCTCAAAAATGGGTGTTTTGTTGGATTTTTACCGTATTTTTTAACGTCATAAGCTTTTCATCATAAGCTTAGTCTATTATTTCAATTTTGAAAGTTCTTTTGAAGTGTTTAGTTATAATCAAAGGTAATTATACTCATTGACCAACCCTATTGGATCCGTATCAACCCATTTCGTCTTCGCATTGAATAGGGAAATGCCACTTGGAGGGAAATGAGTGACTGCCATCACGGCAAGAGCTTGATCATCCGAGAAATGCCGACATTCAGCCTTTCGACTATTTTGATGACAATTGATAAAGTTTATCTATATATTTTATAGTCAGCTGATCCAGGATCACCTGCCTTGATGTCAGCATAATCGGATCTTGTAATCTCGGTGAAAACAAAAGAAGAGATTTGTGACCACGCATCGAATGCATTGGCAAAGGACTTTCTAAATGATTTAGAATTTAGAATTGATTTAGAAAATGATTTAGAAACCCGCGATGATTTAGAAAACTTAAACATAGATTTTTATAACTTAAAATTTGCAAGAATTGCTAAAGCAAAAGAAATTGAGAGCAAGGGGAATCGAATCAGGGTTGAGGAGCAAGCATACTATCTCCTACACTGGGGTGCTTTGCGAGGAGAAGTATTTTATCGCTATACCACCGGCGACTCTATCAAGACAGCGAAATGGAGTCATTATATGGAAAAAGTCGTTATATCGAACATTGTTATACAGGAAGTAAGACCGAGATCGTAAGTTTGAGTCGTTATACTGAGAGTCGTTAGATCGTTGAGTCGACTGTACTCAACGTTTTTCGAACTCTAGTAATATTAGTTCATGTCTTTTTCAACTCTGGTAACAAAAGCGGTGTCCTTTTTTAAAAAAAGTAGTTTGTTTGTGCAAAAAAAAGGAAATTTCTGCAGTTTTACTATATTAGAATGAATAAAGAACCTCATCTTTGCATTTGAAGGTCAGAAAGTCTACGTTGAAATTGATAAACTACTTTGAGAAGTGAATGTTTTATTAAAAAACCTTCAGAAATTGTAAAAGAGTGCACAAAACATAGATGTTTAATGCAGAAAAAGAATTGTTCAAAAAAAGCAAAAGAATTGGCTAGGAAGGATTCGAATCCAAGCCAAAAAGCTTCATCAGTTCCGTAGACTAGCAGACTATCCGCTAGACCAGTGAAGCTGTTGGAAAGTTTCTTTGTTGCGGTCCGATGAAGGAAATTTAAATGGAATAACATAATAAAGCTTTTTTTTCACTAACCTCACTTGTTCCTTGGTTAACGAGCTCGGATATGATCCAATTGACCAAGTCAATTCATTTATTTTCCATCGATGAAAAGTGATTTCTTTCAAAGGAGAGGCTAGATTTTTATAATAAACTTTAAATACTTTCCAAATTACATTATCTACTAGTTTACACGACTAATAGCTACCGTAAAAAGCCTCGAATGACTAAACTAGATAGTTATCTAGCACCAGAGGGGTTTGGATCCGATTCCAAATCTTTACACAAGCATACAAAGAACGAAAAAACGACTAAGAGATAGTACTATGAACTGTCTATTGGAGTGTCGCGTATTTGTCTTTTCGTTCTTTGTATGCATGTGTAGAGATCTAGATTCGGATCCAGATCTAGATTCGGATCCAGATCTAGATTCGGATCCAGATCTAGATTCGGATCCAGATCTAGATTCGGATCCAGATCTAGATTCGGATCCAGATCTAGATTCGGATCCAGATCTAGATTCGGATCCAGATCTAGATTCGGATCCAGATCCGGCTCCAGATCCAGATCCGGCTCCAGATCCAGATCCGGCTCCAGATCCAGATCCGGCTCCAGATCCGCACATCCCTGCCCAGCATCCCTGAATATCTTCACTTTGGAAAGCATAAAAACTTCTAATGCTATCCAGTTTGCTATATAAACTATAAAGTAACACTAAAACTTGGCATAATTATTGTGCAAAAGTTTTGATACAGATTTTCCCCTCAAATCAGTGTTTACCTTCAAACTGAACAACACAAACAGCGAAAGACATAAGAAATCGAAGCATTCTCAGCAAATTGGAATGGAAAAAAAATGGAAAATGTTTCTCCGGCCAAATCAAAGTCCTATTTATAGATCTTTTAGATCTTTTTGAGCTGGGAAATGAAATTGTTTCAAAGAAATCGCCTTCAGCAAAAATTCCCTTCCAACGCATGGCTTTAAAAAAATGTCAGAAAGCAAAAAGAGATAAGATTTGATCCCTTAAAGAAAGAGAAATTGATTTGGGTTTTGGTCGGAAAAAAAAATCGCTCGTAAAATGGGTTTTTGAATACCGGGTGGTCCAAAATTATCACAACCAGTTTTTTGGGAAAACCATTCTTTTCCCAAAAAGGAAACTTTCTATAGAAAGTAGCATGTATTAGATATTATTTGAAGGCTCTAATTCTCAGCACCATTAACACATTAACATCGATCACAGTATAGTAAAAACACGTTTTCTTATAAATCAAAAATCCGGCTGCTAGCAAATATTTTTTTTGCATTTTTGTCAATGTCAACGTCAATGTCAATGTCAACGTCAATGTCAACATCAATGTCAATATCAATGTCAATATCAATGTCAACGTCAATTTCAACGTCAATGTCAATGTCAACATCAATGTCAATGTCAATCTCAATGTCAATGTCAATGTCAATCTCAATGTCAATGTCAATGTTAAAGTCAACATCAATGTCAACATCAATGTCAATGTCAACATCAATGTCAATGTCAATCTCAATGTCAATGTCAATGTCAACATGGCACATCCGGCAAATAATGTAAAAGTGCGTTCTCTGTTAAAAATCACTGAGATTTGCGTTTTCTAAACCAAAAAATGTGCTGATTCCGAAAATGTAGTCCACCAAAATCCGCCTTGCAGAAAACTACAAAAAGCCAACGTTTCGAGATCATAAAACTCATTGAAATTTGGAAATTTGGATCAATTTCCGATTTTAGACAATAAAACCCAGTGAATAAACGAAATTTTCGCATGGAATCTGTGAAATTCAAAGTCAAAGTATTCTGATTTTCATTTTCAAAGATATTTAAAGTCAAAACTTTTATCATAAATCTTTTTCTTGCATTTTGTAGCCTTTAAAAAATGGGATCTCGTTTTTCTTTTTTTTCCCGAAGAACTCCTCGAGTTTTTTCTTGACTTCCACTTGCTTTTGAACTGTTAATCGAGAGGATCGGCTACAGAAGAGAACCTGAAAATGGTTCACTATATTTTTAAATGATCAAAATAATCAAAATGATGATTAAAATGATCAAAATGATGATTAAAATGAAAGAAAGATCCAATATGTTTTAAAATGATCATAAAAAGAAAATCCTAACTTTATAAGACATATCTAAGGATAATTGGGTCTATGAAGGACAAAGAAACTATCGGAATTTCAATTATATTATACAGGGTGCGCCAAAAGTTCCCGTACTTGGATTTTCTGCATTTTTGGTAATTTTAGATAAAAGATACAATTTTAAAAGTAAGAAATTCTAATTCCTCGCGAAAAACTGATTTAGAAAACGTTTCTGGTTAATTTATAAGTGCAACGCTATTTAAGAAAAGTGATTGAGAAGAGGGTCTCAGGGACATTGAAGGGCACATTGAAGGGACATTCAGGGCAGTTACAGGGAACAGTTACAGGGCACAGTTACGGGGCACAGTTACAGGGCACAGTTACAGGGAACAGTTACAGGGCACAGTTACGGGGCACAGTTACAGGGAACAGTTACAGGGACAGTTACGGGGCACAGTTACAGGGAACAGTTACAGGGCACAGTTACGGGGCACAGTTACAGGGGACAGTTACAGGGCACGGTTACAGGGAACAGTTACAGGGCCACAGTTACAGGGGCACAGTTACGGGGACAGTTACAGGGCACATTACAGGGAACAGTTACAGGGACAGTTCGGGGCACAGTTACAGGGCACAGTTACAGGGCACGTTTACAGGGAACAGTTACAGGGAACAGTTACGGGGAACAGTTACAGGGCACAGTTACAGTTTTTCCTTTGATGGAAATTTGTATGGGAAAACCAAGTTCTAACCTGACTTCCGACTCAATCGTTGACCAAAACTTTATATACCCAATATAAAAAATGTCACATTTTATATCTAGTTTTCGAAAAACATCTTGGCTCTTGAAAAACCTTTGATCCATAAAAGTTACAGGCCTGAAGCCCCAAAAAAATGTGCGACCAAAGCGCCCCTAGCTGTCCGTAACTAACTTCCAAATCCCCTTAATCCCCTGCGCCCTACGCGCCCTTAAGCCCCTTAACTGCCCGTAACCCTTAACGCGCCCTGCCTGAATGTGGACCAGAGCGCCCCTAAACGGACCCTCTTCTCCATCACTTGTCTTAAATAGCGTTGCACTTATAAATTAACCAGAAACGTTTTCTAAATCAGTTTTTCGCGAGGAATTCGAATTTCTTACTTTTAAAATCGTATCTTTGATCTAAAATTACCAAAAATGCAGAAAATACAAGTACGGGCACGACGCACCCTGTACTTTAGGAGTCAAAAACAATTTGTCTTTCTTATTTGAAGTATTCTTTGTTTTGTTTACTTTGTTTTTGTATTTTGTTAAGCGCCGAAACTGTGCGTACTATTTACAAGGTTTTCGGTCAACAAAAGGTCATTTTATATAATTTTATGATATTTAAATCCGTATAGTTAATTGTTACCTTATTTATATAATGTTAAAGTTCGACTGTAATCACGCAACTCACCCGATTTTCCCAATCCTCCACAATTTTCATTGTGCACGCCCTTTCTCCAAACACTTTTGCATGAGAATTTAAAACCTGAAAAGCATCATAGTGAGTGTAAGAGTTTGTACCCGATCAAATGTCTCTCGCTGTTGAATGAGATCAAATGTTAGAACATTCACGATGAGCACACCTAAATCAGGGTTTTTTAAAGATCCAAACTAAGGGAGAATAATGCTATAGAAAAGATTATTGACTATTTATTGACTTCCGCAAACGTCAATGTTAATTTCAACGTCAATGTCAATGCTAAAGTCAATGTCAACGTCAACGCCAATGTCAACGTCAATGTTAACGTCAATGTCAACGTCAGAACGTAATAAAGAAGTGAAAGAATTGGCAAGTTTTCCGTAGATTTCCGGAGGGGATTGAACCCTCGACTTTTTGCTTGGCTATAACTCTCCAAAGGGCTTTCCGTAAATTGAGTGGCCAATTAAATGGTCAATCAAATAGTTGAAAAGCTAAAGCTAAAGCCAAAAGCGGCCTATTGACGTTTGGGGGTTAAATCGCCGGAAAGCAAAAATGTCTTCTCCCTTGTCTCTCCCCTGCCTAACCATTCTGTTTCAACAACTTCTCGATTTGTCCAAGTATCCCATCACTCGTGAACTCATCAATCGGGCAAATGATTGGGTGGTGAAAGTCGTTGTGACAAGCATCAACAATTATTGCATCGAATAATTGAGCTAAACGTGTTTTTGCACTTAAATCTTCATGACAATCATATAATAAAACCTATAGTTATGATTTGGTTCATCAAGTTTTTAGAATGCTTAGCACTTCCATTTCTATAGTCAAATATCTCTAAAGATATTCCAGAATAGCCTAAACTTCTTCTGGTGCATGGCTGGACGAAGAGATCATTTTCCAGGCCAGGCCTAGCAAACCAGTTTTCGAAAGTCGCCAATTTAGTCGTAAAATGATAATGTTTAATGTGTGATAATGATAATTTGCTTTAGTTTTAATTACAATAGTGTCAAGAATCATTTATCTATCTAAGAAACAAAACAAATGTAACAGCGTCAAGATCGTCAAAATTAGCAACAACAAAACCCAGGCCAAGGCCATGGCTTTTGGCCTAGCCTGGCCTTGTCTTGGCTTGGCCTGGCTTTACCTGGCCTGGCTTTACCTGGCCTGGCTTTGGCCTGGCCGGCCATGGCTTTTGGCTTTTTCTTCCAGCCCTGTTCTGGTGCAATTCAGACTTCGGATTTGGCTCGGGTGTCGCTTTGGGTGCCACCCATTGACGTTTCCTTCAAAAGTTCACAGTCACTTGCGTCAGCCACTTTTTGACGTCATCTTCGGAATCAAAGTGCTGCGCAACCAGCTTGTTGCTCATCGACGGGAATAGATTATAATCACTTGGGGCAAGGTTCGGGCTATATGCGGGATGGGCCATTTCCCAACCAAGGCTCTTCGGCTGGCCTTGTCTTGGGCTGGCCGGCCATGGCTTTTGACTTTTTCGCCCAACCTTGTTCTGATTCAGACTTGTGAGCCAATCACTTTCAACTGAGAATCACATTCGGCTACGATATATATATCAAATATGTATAAAACAGGAGTATTTTTCTCGACTGGTTATATACTTTTGAGCGCTAATATTTTTACTAACATTTCCCTGCTTTCACTTGCTCATCAATGTACTTGACGCCATCCTCGATAATTATGCGAGTCTTCCCGTTTTCGATCACCTCAAATTGCTCGATGGCCATCGTTTTGGTGGATGGATTGATGTCAACCATGGTCAGATTTAACTGGAAAATAATAAAGATAAGAAAATAGTCAAGGAAATAGGTCCATGTTGAAATCACTAGATCAGCTAATTATGATAGATTGGGCTCACATTTGGAAAAGAAGTCGAGAGAAAGTTGTTCACTCCTCCGGCGCCGAGTCCAATCACGAGCACATCGCCGACTACTTCCTCTGAAAATACACCAAAATGGCTAGACTCTGAATAGGTCAGTATCAAGATTAAAGCTTTTCCAATTGTGCTTTTCCAATCTATAATAATTAGCTGATCTCATGAGTGACTAATTTAGTAATTAGATGAAAAGTTGAACTCATCAATTATTAATAGCAATCGATATGAGCAATATTCTTTTCTCCCCACATAATCCTCTTCCTTTTTTCTTTCTTCTTCCCCCTTGTCTTTCCTGCTTTCTCTTGCAAGTTAAGGTACTGGATAGCTCAATGGTTAGAGCAATTGCTCGAAAAGCAAAAGGTCGAGGGTTCAATCCCCTCTCCGGAAATCTACTTTTTCTTTTACTTTTGTAACTACAAGTGGGCCCCGATAACTGGTGTTCTTCTATTAGTTCTATTAGTAGAAAGGAAGTTCTCGGAAAATGTTTACACGGTGATTTCTCAAAAACAAAGCCATGAATTCTTTCCAGATTTTTGATAAGCTTGACTATATTTCAGTTTTTAAGTTCAAAATTTTAAGAGAAAGCTGCACTCATTCTTTTTACGAGTAATTACTTGGAGTTAACTTGTAAATAATAAAGCAAAATGTTCTTGAATTAGTGGATTCGTTTTTAAAAAAATTCCAGTTAAACCTTTTCTAAGAACTCCCTTCCAATCTAATAGTTTGTAGTAAATCTTTCAGCTTTTTAATTCTGGTTTGCTCAAGTCCATTAGAAAATTAGATCCATTAGATTTTGTACTAAAGCTTCTTACTACAAATTCAAAAGCCTTTTTGAGACATACGCAAATGCCCAGCAATCTCCACAGTTCTGTTGATTTTTTATGTCATTCAGTCATTCGTGGTTTTGTTTTAAAGAAATTCCAGTGAAACTTTTTCCGAGAACTTTCTTTCCAACTTAATATTTTGCAGGGTGCGACAAAATTATGAAATGAATGCTCATTGATGAATTAAAAGAAGAAAATGAAGAGAGTACTCCGAGTGTCCTACATCATTTGAAAGTTCTTAATAAATACTACAAAATAGAATAGCTAAATCAAGAATTCGTTCCAATCTTGGAAAAATTCAAGGACCTGTACGTGACACTTCTGAAAAACCCTTCCAGCAGTATTTCAGTTTCCGAGAACTTTCTTTCCAACTTAATACAAAGACAAGATGTCATTGGTGTAGCAGCTAACGACTAGATATTGAATTTAGCATAGAGAGCTCTTGGATAATAAGTTTTATATATTCTCCGCAGTTCTTTTGGGTTGGTGAATTGAAAACTGCGGGCTATTGTCATATCTGACGGTTTGAGCACTTTCTTCAAAAGAAACCCATTTTGGTGTCAATGGAAAAGTTGTAGAGAATCAAAAACTAAGCTTATATCCAAATTTTCAGAACCATTCAAAAACTGGTTTTCAAGAAATGCCAAATTTACGAATTTTCACAAAACTTGCATTTTAAGCGAAACTACTAAGTGTATCTTTTTGGAAATTTGGCTATAAGCCTAATTTTTGATTCTCTACAACTTTTCTATTGACACCAAAATGGGTTTCTTTTGAAGAAAGTGCTCAAACTGGGACATCTCCAGTCCTCCATTTTTGAGCCTCACACTTGTCTCACACACAAACCAAAATCCTACTACGAAAGAGGAATCCGCAAATTGCCTGTAAAATGGGCAAAAGTCGTCAATAATAATGGAAATTATTTGGAATGAATTGATGGTTTTATTTTCAATAAATTTTAGTTCAAAGTCCTGCAGGTTTCAATTCACCAACCCAATAGCTAACGACTAGATATTGAATTTAGCATAGAGGGCTCTTGGATAATAAGTTTTATGTATTCTCAGCGGTTCTATAACAACCAAAGCTAGCCAACTCTCTTTGCGTCTGGCTCAATAGCGCCTATCTTTCCGTCTTGTTTTGAATGAACTCAACCAAAGAGGAAATGAGTCTCACTCACTGTCCAACTCTAGTGCTCCTGTCCAGAAGATCCCTTGGACGATATCGGTGAGATAGCCCATCGGAAGCGATGATTTGTTTACTCGCCATCCACTCGAATTCAAAGAATCAAATATGTAGTCTAAGAGAATTTGACTTTTGATTGATTTCTCGATAATGATACCAGTTGGAAGGATCAATGGCATCTCAAAAACGATCATCCCCTCAAAACTTTGTGTGCTCAGAGTGCGAATGGGTCCTTGACTGGAAATTAACTAAAATATTGCTTTGTTTTCGGAAAATTGCTTATATGTATGGTAAAAATCAATCAACCATTTTGATGATATCTTGCAATGGAGAACGTTTGGCTATTTCTTATCTTAGATTTTGATTTCCGATTTCAGGGTGTGTATGGTTTGTTATGGAAATCCCACGGGTCCACATCAAATCCTATTATTAAGTTCATTGAGTTTAGCAAAAGAAATAGCGAAAAACAATGTATTCTATAGGGTTTGGACAGCAATTGAGAGAGAAAAGAAAGAAGGAAAATTGAATTTTCTTTACCATTTGATTCATACATAGCCTAAAGCATTTTCTAGCCTATAGAAAATGAATTTATCCTCTAGATTAGACTTGATTTATCCTCTAGATTAGACTCACAAGGTCAACGCTCCAACTCGAGCTCGATGATCGGTTGTGTTGCGCCAAAGATCGCTCACCACGAAACACTCGCCATTCCAGCAGTATTTCCCACGAAATTTGGGCACTTTCATTTGATGCTGAAACTTGTTTTAGCTGTCAAAAAACGTTTCCAGAACTATTCGTCAATTTTTTCTGTCAAACCAAACGACTGTGCCTCTGCTAATCGATAGAATTCTTCTTTTGATAGAGCCATGGAATCGCTCGCTCGATCCCGTTGTGATTGACTGATGAAGAAGATTATTCCAGAGATCTGCAGTGGAGAATCATCTTTGATTTGCATAAAAGAATTATAAAAAGGTTTAAATCAAGCTGCTCAAATCAAGCAAATCAGGCTCGAATCAGACCCATCTTCAACAAAGTGATCGCGAATTACCGGAACCTTTTGGAAAAGCAGGAAATGTCTTGAATGAGCGCTAATCGACACCACACCAGCAAACCTATCATTTGACCGCTTTTCTATATAAAAGCAGGAAATGTCTTGAATGAGCACTAATCGACACCACACCAGCAAACCTATCATTTGACCGCTTTTCTCTATTAAAGAGCTTTTCTCTATTGTTAAGAAAAGGTTTGAATACAAAAATAGCGTTTAGAATTACTTAATAACATTAAGAAACACACTAAACTCTTTTGGTTGAACTGGAATAACGAAAATTTAAGTTAATTGACATCAACTTAAACACATACATAGCTCCTTTTGGTGAAAATTGAGTATTTTGGATTTTCAATTCATATTCATTTCGTTACATCAGCTTTTATAGCGCTATAAATTTATTTAAAACAATCTTTTAAACCAAATTACCACAAATTTGACCAAAAAAACGTTTCCAAATCAAAATTTTATATAGAAAAGCGGTCAAATGATAGGTTTGCTGGTGTGGTGTCGATTAGCGCTCATTCAAGCGCTTGTTAAATGAGTTGTATAAGCCGAATTGGGAAGTTTTTGGTAGATAATTGTAGCCAAGAATTAGGACTACAATTCTCTATATAACACTTGCCACTTTTGAAATAAGCTAGACATTTCCTAGTTTTCCAAAAAGTTGTCACTATAATTCGCTCTGACCTATAAAACGACGGTTCTATTTTCAGTTTTTTGCTTTTATTGAAACTTGAGGAAAAGGGTTATTAAAGGAAAAAAAGAGAGGCTAAATATATTGTCAAAATATTATCTAAGCAACTTACAGTTATCGCCAGGAAAATCATCCAAAGTTTTGTGCGTAGAGAGTGTTTAAAACGCATCATCTGTGAGATTTTGCGCCTAGAATAAACAATAGAAATAAGGGAAATGCATGTAAAATTTGAATATATCGAATTGAAGCAAAAATTCACTCACTAACAGCCTATAAACTAGCTTTTCTTGAGCAATTTATGAAAAACTATAAAATAATTGATGTAAATACTGCAAAATTCGAGTTCTAATTCTATTAGAAATGCGGATTTCAACATTTTCATAAATTTTCAACGATAGAAACTTGATATCGATGTTATAAACTGTTATAACTGTTATAAACTATTTGAAAGTTGTAAATCTCCTCTACAAAATAGGCTAAAACGTGTTTCAATTGATCGAACCATTAAAGAAATTTCGAGAGCGAAATGCCAGTGACCAAGAAAGGGAACTTTTCACTCCCCAGACTCCCCACTTAACAGTGCATCTTCAAAAAGATTACAATATCTGTAACTCTCATTTTTCTATTTCATTGTTGTAAGTAGGAAAGCCTTAGCACTAAAAAGACAAATATTAGGTACATGCATAAGAAATGCGGATTTCAACCTTTTCATAAATTTTCAACGATAGAAACTTGTATCGATGTTATAACTGTTATACTGTTATAACTATTTGAAAGTTGTAATCTCCTCTCCAAAAATGGCTAAACGAGTTTCAATTGATTGAAGCATTGAAGAAATTTCGAGGGCGAAATGCGAGTGATCAAAAAAGGGCACTTTTTGAAAACCCCACTTTCACAAGAGTTCGGTTTTGACTATATAGTGGAAAATGCCCTAAATTATCAATATCAATAAAAAATTATCAATAAAATATCATTCAAAATAATTAAGAGTTGGGATCATTTCATGGGAAAACTTTGTTTTTACAATAATTTTTCTTTTTTGTGAAAAAGCCGGTTTTTTTGACATTTTTGAGGGTTTTGAACTTACACTTTTATCTAAATTTCTGTAAATGCATTTCCGTTAGACTTTTTTAATGAATTCATATATAGTTATCCTTTTTTTAAAAATCTTCAATTCTGGGAAGCTAACTCTATTTTGAACACACTAAACTTGTCCCTAAAGTGACTCGATTCCTTTTTTGGTCACTCGCATTTCGCCCTCGAAATTTCTTCCATGGTTCGATCAATTGAAACACGTTTTAGCCTATTTTGTAGAGGAGATTTACAACTTTCAAATAGTTTATAACAGTTATAACAATTTATAACATCGATATCAGGTTTCTATCGTTGGAAATTTATGAAAATGTTGAAATCCGCATTTCTTATGCATTTACCTAATAGATAGTTTAAAATTTCTACTCTTTTCTTATGATATTCTTCATTGAGCTGAAACAAAATTCAGTTTTTAAGCTTTTAAACTAACTTTAGGGAAGTGACAGAACTTTTCTTAAACCCTGTATACCTTCAGTAAAGCCAGATAGTTGGGATTCACAGGAAACTCCCAATCATTCTAATCCCGTGACTCTACAATTACCCTTTAAGAAAACCACTTTTTTAACTTACAACTTGAGCAAATTAGATGAGAAATCAGAAAACCAGTTTGACAATAAGTCTTTCCTTTTGCAGTAATCAAATAGCAGAAAGATTCGTTTAAAAACGTTTAAATTGATTGATATTTGTTGTATTTGAGAGAAATATAGCATAAAATTCAATGAAATTTTATATTTCTCTCTCAAAACAGTTGATCAATTGGTATGGAAAAGATCGCTTTTTTTATTGATAGAGAAAAGAGAAATCATTTTTCAAGAAAAACAATTTTTCGTGTTCAAAAAATCGAGATTCTTGTTGACAACAAACTCGCAAAGAAACAACTTTGTAAGGAAAAGAGACAATATTTCCAGATTTTTGCTTTTATTGAAACTTGAGGAGAAGAGGAATCCGCAGGAAAATTCCTCTTTCCGCCTAGAAGTCCCCCATTTTTGAGTCTCACACTTGTCTCACACACAAACCAAAATCCTACTACGAAAGAGAAATCCGCAAATTGCCTGTAAATGGGCAGAAGTCGTCAATAATAATGGAAATTATTTGGAATGAATTGATGGTTTTATGTTGAATAAATTTTCGTTCAAAGTCTCGCAGTTTTCAATTCACCAACCAACCGAAGGTGACCCTAAACCCGATTTGTACCAGAAGAAGTTGATGCTCTGCGTTTTCTGGGATATGGCGGGAGTGGTGTACTGGGAGTTGCTGGATAGCAAGACGACCTTTAATGAAATCAAATACAGTGAACAGTTGGGAAAGGTGAATGAATCCCTGAAGCAGAATAGGCCCTCCAAGTCAAAGATCGTTCTCATCCACGACAAGGCGCGCCCTCATGTTGCAAAACTGACTCGCTCTCAAATAAATAGCCTTGTTTAAGAAATTTTGGCCTATTCCCCATACAGTCCGGACCTTGCCCCTTCTGATTACTATTTATTCCGGATCATGACTAATGAGCTTGCGGGAGAACATTTCGATTCGGAAGAAGCAGTCAAAAATTGGTTTTGAAAGTTTTTCGATTCAAAACCAAAATCCTACTACGAAAGAGGAATCCGCAAATTGCCTTTAAAATGGGCAGAAGTCGTCAATAATAATGGAAATTATTTCGAATGAATTCATGGTTTTATGTTGAATAAATTTTAGTTCAAAGTCCGGCAGTTTCCAATTCACCAACTCAATAAAAGGTTGACAAAAAGCTGACAAAAAGCTGGGAATTGAAGTTGTACTGGGAGTTGCTGGATAGCCAGATGACCGTTAATGCAATCAAATACGGTGAACAGTTGGGAAAGGTGAATGAATCCCTGAAGAAGAATAGGCCCTCCAAGTCAAAGATCGTTCTCATCCACGACAACGCGCGCCCTCATGTTGCAAAACAGACTCGCTCTAAAATAAATAGCCTTGTTTGGGAACTCTTGGCGCATTCCCCATACAGTCTTGCCCCTTTTGATTACTATTTATTCCGGATCATGACTAATGAGCTTAATGAGCTAATGAACACTTCGATTCGGAAGAAGCAGTCACACTTGTCCCACACACAAACCAAGATCCTACTACGAAAGAGGAATCCGCAAATTGCCTGTAAAATGGGCAGAAGTCGTCAAGAATAATAGAAATTATTTGGAATAATGTGATGGTTTTATGTTGAATAAATTTTCGTTCAAAGTCCCGCAGTTTTCAATTCACCAACCTAATACAAAGAATTCCCATCACTCGTCATTTATTATTATTTGAAACGCTGAATGATGTTTTCTTTGTCGATTCTCTCTTCAAATTCTTCTCGTTATTGTCAATTCCATTTTGTTCATTGTCAATTTATTATCAATTCAAAATGGATCAATCTTTTATTCAGATTGATTGGAGTGTATTTATCCAGTGATCGCAAGTTTGTAATTGTCCAAAATTTTGCTGGATTCTTAGGAAATTCTTTCACAAAGATGCCCTTATAACTCGATGAGAAATCGCTCGATAAAAGGGCCAAATTTACCAAAAGAAATTGGAGTTTGCTCTCTTTTTGACTGCTAATCATTAGAAAGGATTTATGAGCAAGTAATTTGATATAAGACTAAATTTAAACTATAATAGAAGAGCTTAAAGGATGGTGCAATGTGAACTAATTGATTTGGACGGTAAAGACTTACAACTACGGCACGAGTTATCGATGCCAGCTCTGTAAATCTCCGTAAATCTCTGTAAATCTCTTTAAATCTCTGTAAAAAGCTTTTCCCCTTTCAAAAAGTCAATTTAAAAAAGCATAAAAGCCAAAAAGAGTTGAAAAAATAAATATGTTGACAAATTTTCGATTCAATCAAATAGAAAATCGGCTTTGAAATTTCATAAACGAGAAAACGAGCTCATTTGAATCATGAAAAACATGAAAAACAGGAAAAAAAATATTATTTTAACACTCGAGAATGAAATTTTATACTTTAAACTTATCCATATTTTATTTTTTACTATACTCCTTCTCGTCTAAGGGTAAGTGAACTTTTGTGAGCTTTTTTTCTACTATTGAGTTGGTGAATTGAAAACTGCCGGACTTTGAACTAAAATTTATTCCACATAAAACCATAAATTCATTCCAAATAATTTCCATTATTATTGACGACTTCTGCCCATTTTACAGGTAATTTGCGGATTCCGCTTTCGTAGTAGGATTCTGGTTTTGAATCGAAAAACTTTCAAAGCCAATTTTTCACTGCTTCTTCCGAATCGAAGTGTTCTCCCGCAAGCTCATTACTCATGATCCGGAATAAATAGTAATCAAAAGGGGCGAGGTCCGGACTGTATAGGGAATGCGCCAAAAGTTCCCAAACAAGGCTGTTTATTTTAGAGCGAGTCAGTTTTGCAACATGAGGGCGCGCGTTGTCGTGGATGAGAACGTTCTTTGACTTGGAGGGCCTATTCTTCTTCAGAGATTCATTCACCTTTCCCAACTGTTCGCTGTATTTGATTGCATTAAGGGACGTCTTGCTATTCAGCAACTCCCAGTACACCATTCCCACCATATCCCAGAAAACGCAGAGCATAAACTTCTTCTGGTGCAAATCGGGCTTGGGGCCACTTTCCGGTTTCTCGCCTGGCCCCACCTATTGCTACTTCCTCCGAAAGTTCACAGATAAAATCCATTTCTCATCTCCTGTCACAATTCGAGAAAGAAAGGCTTTCCTTTCGTAGTAGGATTCTAGTTTGTGTGTGAGACAAGTGTGGGACTCAAAAATGGGGACTGGAGATGTCACATGTCCCAGTTTGAGCACTTTCTTCAAAAGAAACCGATTTTGGTGTCAATAGAAAAGTTGTAGAGAATCAAAAATTAGGCTTATAGCCAAATTTCCAAAAAAGATACACTAAGTAGTTTCGCTTAAAATGCAAGTTTTGTGAAAATTCGTAAATTTGGCATTTCTTGAAAACTAGCTTTTGAATCGTTCTGAAAATTTGGATATAAGCTTGATTTTTGATTCTCTACAACTTTTCCATTGACACCAAAATGGGTTTCTTTTGAAGAAAGTGCTCAAACTGTGACATATGACAATAGCC